CCTTCCAGAGGGCCGTTGCCGGCGCCTCCATTGCAGAAGTCCACCTTGCAGCTGTTTTACCTCAGAACAAACTCCCACCCTTTTTTTCTGAGTCGCAAACACCGTCACACGCCCGATCTTCCGGTCGGCTGCCCGTCAGAGCCCCTATTAAGTCGGTTTTCCCCTCCCAACAAGCGGCTACCCCGGCATATAGATCGCCATCCCACCCAACCGCCCCCACCTTCAAAAAAAAATCGGGTTGCGGCCCCTTTAAGTATTCTTTGCCGCTTGTAAACTCTCCGCTTGTGGTGCGCATGCGTGAAGCCCGATGACAGGAAGGAAGTAGAAGACTCGTGTTAACAAGAACGTGTGGATGAAGCGGGTTAGGGACTCATCTGCTGCGTGCGTTAATTTTCACAGTAGAGGATGAGAAATGTGTGTTGTTATTATTGGCCATGCTGGCTAGGACTGGTGGAATTTATAGTTCCAATCGAAACAGTGGTGCATAGCAATCTGTCTAAAAATCACATGCAAGTAGCTAGTTACTGAGGGAAGGCTTCTCTGCACGTGTGGATGAAGCGGGTTAGGGACTCATCTGCTGCGTGCGTTAATTTTCACAGTAGAGGATGAGAAATGTGTGTTGTTATTATTGGCCATGCTGGCTAGGACTGGTGGAATTTATAGTTCCAATCGAAACAGTGGTGCATAGCAATCTGTCTAAAAATCACATGCAAGTAGCTAGTTACTGAGGGAAGGCTTCTCTGCAGAGAAAGAGTAGCTAGTTACTGAGGGAAGGCTTGTCTGCAGAGAAAGATCTTTACCTGCTTGCGGAAAGATAGCAGAGATGGGGCCAGTCTGCATATAAGCAAGGATACCATTTGGTGTTCATTTACTAGGCTAGGGAATAGACCTCAATGAAGTCCAATGGACTTCACTCCAAAATTAAGATATTGCAGGGTGTTGTGGTGTTTGTTAGAAGTAAGTCTACAATTATCTTTTCCAAGATGAACTGAAGCAGTTGAGAATGGTTAGTAAGGCTTTTAGAGCAGTGATGGTGAACCTTTTTGAGCCCAAGTGCCCAAACTGCAACACAAAATCAACTTATTTCAAAGTGCCAGTACTGCAATTAAAACCTGAATGCTGAGGTTTTAGTTTAAAAAAACAACTGCTCCTGCACTGCAAGGGTTAAATGCTTGTCTCTCTCTCTCTCTCTCTCTCTCTCTCTCTCTCTCTCTCTCTTCCCCCCCCATGGGCGTTATTAACAAATACTTACTGGCTGGGCAAATCTGCCTTCCAGTGGGACGGGGTTCCAAAGGCTGGGAGAGTCTTTGAAATATAGCTGCATCTTTGATAGTTTTAAAATACTTGTATGTGTTTCAAACACTTAGGTTGTTTTCTTAACGGGCTCCTTATAATATCCTTTTCATGGCAAGGGCAAGAAAAAATGTCCAAAAAGAGGCAAAAAAAGCATCAAAGGCTTTGTTGTGTGACTGTGCTCATCCTTTTTCATTTATTTTTTCATTCTTACTCCCCCCACCCATCTCTCTCTCTCTCTTCCCCCCCCATGGGCGTTATTAACAAATACTTACTGGCTGGGCAAATCTGCCTTCCAGTGGGACGGGGTTCCAAAGGCTGGGAGAGTCTTTGAAATATAGCTGCATCTTTGATAGTTTTAAAATACTTGTATGTGTTTCAAACACTTAGGTTGTTTTCTTAACGGGCTCCTTATAATATCCTTTTCATGGCAAGGGCAAGAAAAAATGTCCAAAAAGAGGCAAAAAAAGCATCAAAGGCTTTGTTGTGTGACTGTGCTCATCCTTTTTCATTTATTTTTTCATTCTTACTCCCCCCACCCACCCAGCTCAGGGCTTAGGAAAGTTCCTTTTGGTGCAAATGTTGGAAGATAACTTTTTGGAGCACCAGCCTAGAATCCTGTCAGAAAGCCAACATGGGGAGATTTAACAATCAGAGGTATTGGTCATAGGGGATAAATTAATAGCCAGAAATTTAAAAAAAATCATGCAAAATGCAAGCTTTTGTGGATGAATCACATGATCAGAGGGACTATTGACATCATCTTCAGGACTCAGCCAATCCTGAAGGTGCTGCTGCTGCCATGGAAACACAACCCCTCTCTCCTGGGTCTTTGTGACCTCACAGAGCCCCACCTCTCTGCTGGCAGATAAAAGGGGCTTGCTGGGCAGGGCAGAAGACCAGAAGGGAGGTCAGTGGCCAGAGGGCAGTCGGGCAGAGAGAGTAGCAGTGGCTGCAGGGGACATAGCCCTTCTGCCCAAGGCAAGTTCTCTCGCGAAACCAGATGAACTTGCTAAGTGGGCTTGCGAGTTAACAGCTCGAGGCTGGCGGAGATCCGTGGCTTGAAGCAGGCTGATGTCGGGGATGGACCAGGGGGAAGTCGATGGATGCTGGCAGAGAAAAGGTGGTGGAATCTCCCTGCGGAAGCTGGCTGAGGCCGCAAGGCAGAGGCTGGCAGAGATTGGCGGATGAAGCCGGGGGGACGTTAGCCTCCTGAAACCAGTTGGCAGAAGCTTGGTGGGTATCGGTGGATGGAAGCCCAGGCGTGTGTGTGAATGGCTGGTGGAGTGAAGGTGTGTGTGTGTGTGAGAGAGAATGTGTGTGTGAATGGGCTGGCTGGCATTCCATGGGGATGTTACTGGGCGTGTGTGTGACCCAAGCATTCGGGACCTGGCGGAGGCTGGCTTCAGAAGCGGAGTGGAATAGATGAACGGGTAGATATTCCTGGTGGAAGCCGGTGGATGTTGGCAGGTGGAACTTCAGGATGAAGTTTTCTCTCTCTCTCTCGTAGGGCCCGAAGTGTCTTCTTCCCCAGGGGGATGCGAGGGACAAGAAGGCAGGCGTCCTGCTGGAGCTGAACCAGGCCGCTGTCTCCGCTGAGGATACCCGTTTAGCCTCTTTTCCAAAACCGATAAAAGAATTTTCTGAAAGTCTTGTTTGTTGGGCTGTCACGGGATTATCTTCCCCATCCCCTCATTATATCTGGGGCCCAATGCCTGGAGTGGGTCTTTGTGAAGTCAAGGTATGGGGCCTTGTGATGTCACAGGAATTGGGGACATAATATTTATCTATGCATGTGTGAGGGAGTGAGCTTGGCATTGTGGGTTCCCTGTCTGAGCTCCTAAACAAGTATATTATGTATCATGTTGGACAGATGCAGGAAGCCAGTGAGCCCTGGTGCCATTCGGAGAGGGTTGGAGGTGGGTACCCAAACACTATGGCCACCCTGTAACAATAAATGAGACTTACTCCTTCCCTCCCACCACTGCTCCTCACATTTGTTTGCCTGGCCTGGAGATTCAGGGGAGCCCAGCCATTCCGTGGCACAGCAGCTCGTTCTCTGAGACCTGGCAAGCGTCACCTTCATCATCAACACCATGAGCACTCCATGGACTTGCAGAGTACAATTGGGGAGAAAATATGCCACTTGAAAGAAGCTTCCAGTCCAACCTCTCACGCCAGTGCCACAACCGAGGAAATGGAGATGGGCAATCATTTGGAGATGAGCATACATTAAAATTCATGTGGATCCATGCCATGAATAGATGACAAAAATACACGGGTACTGCAAAATCTGCTGGTTGAGGGCAGTGACTGCCTCTGAGTGCCTAGTGCAGTGATGGTGTCCCTTTTTTGAGCCCGAGTGCCCAAACTGCAACAAAAAATTATTTATTTCAAAGTGCCAATACTGCAATTAAAACCAGAATGCTGAAGTTTTGGTTAGAAAAAAAAAGCTTATATGCTGCAAGGGTTAAATGCTTGTTTCCCCCCAATGGGCGGTATTAACAAATGCATACTTATTAGTCCTCCAATCCCCCATTGGGCTAGACCGGTAATGGTCGCCATTGCACCCCTCTGCTGGACCACTGCACCAGCAGAGGGGAGTGCCAAAATCTGGGATCGGAGAACAGGTAAGTATTTATGGCAACTTATGGCTCATGTGCCCACAGAGAGGGCTCTCTGTGTCAGCTGTGGCACGCGTGCCATAGGTTTGCCATCACTGTTTTAGAGGCTTTGCCTGCTTGCTTACTTTCTGAGATTTTTAAGACTTACAATTGGAGTTTTAAACATACTATGGAACTGAAATGTTGAGTGTAGTGAGAGTTAAAAGAAAACTTTAGATTAGATATTGATAACCTATATTCCCTTAATTTGTGTTGAAATGTTGGAATGCAACTTCCATTGTCATCCTTCATTGGATGCATTAGCCAGTGCTGACAGTTGAATGTCATATTAAGTTCTGTAAATTATACACTTAAAGAGAAAGTTCATGGTCCTGCAGCCTCTTATCTTTTTTGAAGCACTACCACTGATGGCTTTTCAAAAAACATAACATGAACATTAGGGCTCTGAGGAACTTAGAGTTATTCTGCAACAGATCAAGGTGCCCAGGCGTCAGATCAGTTAGTCTCTGTGCTACTTTTTTCATGCTCTTCCATTTATCTTTCAGGGAAATGGAGTATATCTAAGTATACTCTCTTTGTTCCTTTTTAAAACCCTTCTAACAAATAGCCCTTTTTGTACTACTATAAGCCATAGATGCCTTTTAAAATATTTCATCAGATATTTACACAACTGTTTATTCATTCTTTGCCCAACAATGAAATACGTTGTTATTTTTGAAAGATCAGGATGAAATTATAGCTTTGATAGACCTTCCTAGTTTTCTATGAAAAGTTCCCTATTCTACATTAAACTGAATGTTTCTCAAATTGCTAATCTATCCTGGTACTGAGAACACATACAGTAGGACTCCCATGTCC